AGGGCCCTAAACCCTAAAACCCGAAACCCTAATCCCCTAAACCCCGAAACCCCTAAACCCCTAAACCCCCCTAAACCCTAAACCCCTAAACCTCTAATCCTAATCCCCGAAACCCCTAAACCCCTAATTTCCGAAACCCCTAAGCCCCTAAACCCTAAACCCGAATCAAGGGCCTGTCGGAAGGCAGCCGACTTCTTGCTGAACGCAGGCGGAGGAATCGTAGCCTTGGCATCGGCAGAAAAAATTGAAATCCTAATTTTACTCTAAGAGGGTAAGGTTTAGGGTTTAGGGTTTAGGGTTTAGGGTTTAGGGTTTAGGGTGTAGGATGTAAAGGTACTCCAAAACAGAGTACTATAAGGCGAATATCCTCAAGTTCTAAGGGTACTAGCTTTGGATGTAGGGTAGCCTGAAGCCAGGGTTTGGTCTATCTCTTTGGCATCTACTTTGGACTTAACCCTAAGCCCTAAACCCTGACCTGCAAATCCTAAACTCCAGACTTACTTCCGCTTTGAAGCCTGGGACCTTCCACACTGATTACTTCAGATCTACGCAGAGAACTCCAAAAGCTCTGACCTTGAATCCTAGAGGACTCTGTAATGCGATGTAGGGCAATGTAGGGTTGAGGGTTGAGGGTTTAGGGTTGGGGGCTTAGGGCTTAGGGCTTAGGCCTTAGGGTGTTTAGGGTTTGGGGGTTTGGATTTATAGGGCTTAGGGTTTATAGGGTTGGAGGTTTAGGGTTTGGGGTTTTAGGGTTAACAAGACTAAGATCTGCTGGGACATAGGGGGGCCTAGGTGCGGCTGGCTTCGCCCTGCCAATGGCCAAGCCGACCCCAAGGGCCCCCCTCCCAGAGACTCCCAAACCCCTTAATTAACGAATCGACCTTAAATTACCCTAGGCTTCCAGGGACCTCATTATTGGGTCCTTAAGGGGTCTAGGGCCCTAACTATAAGGTCCGTGGAAGCCCAGGGTTATATTAGGATCCTACTATAATTTAAAGTATATTCCTTACTTAAGGGGTATTGGAGTCTCTGGGGATGTCCTGCTGCACCAAGGCTTCGATGCTGGAACCCCTAAGCCCTAAACCCCCGTGTAGGGTTTAGGGTCTTAGGGTTTTAGGGTTTTAGGGTTTAGGGTTTTAGGGTTTAGGGTTTAGGGCTCAAGGGTTGAAGGGTTTAGGGTTTAGGGTAAACCCTAAACCCCCCAGACCTAGGCCCTAAACCCCACACGACAAGGCAAGCACTTTGTGCCACTTGGGTTCCAAGATTGGCGAGCAGATTCTCCCTCACCCTAGAGCAGCACTGGCGGATCTGATTGCATCCAGTGCGCGACTCCTGCCATATCGCGGCAAGTCTGCTCAACGATCCTCTTTAGGACTTATAGCATACCGAAGGATGCTTCCCTGCTGCTGGACTGCTCAAGCGCCGGAGTGAAGTCGCTTTTTTCATTGGCCGGCATGGCAATGCGGCAATGCGTGAATTCGGCCAGTCGGTCAGGCCTCCCCAGCTGTTCCGTGGTCCCTTGATTACTCGTGAAGAGCTCGGACAAAGTTACGCCGAGGAAAGCCATGGGAGACGTGTGCAACAGAGATCGCATATTATGAACCGTGTAACTGCTGCATAAGACCAGCAGTCACAGTCTGCAAGGTGGGCTCCCTAAACTCCTAGCAGCCCCAGTTCTGCCATCCCGTGGATTCTTAGTGCAGCTTCTGTGGGCCTCGGCAACGGTAGTAGGGTTTGCGGGATGTTGTCATAGTATGGCTGGCTACATACAGGGATGCTTGGGAGGGGATAAAACAGCATAGATAGAAGCTGACATTACCGTCACTCAGGCGCCATTCATGATTGTCCCCAAAGGCGCCATTCATGATTGTCTGATCTCTCGGGGCTGTACGGGGATGATTACAAATGATTCCGACCCTGCTAGAACAACGGCAAATTCAGAGTACGGCCTTCCCCTGCAGATGCAGGACCCACCCTAAGCCCTAAACCCCGTGAACCCCAAGCCCCAAACCTCGATGCGACATGCTGAACCCGAAGCCCTCATAAACTCACAGAACCCCTGCAAAATATCGAAGTCTTTGTAGAACCCTCAAGAAAGCCCCATAAAACGTAATGTAATCCTCCAGGATTCCGGCTGAAATGGCCTCCGATGCAGGTCCTCAGTGTGGGGGCTTCATGTATTTTGGCTTTGTGGGGTTTTGAACATCGTCGCAGGTCTTTATCGGGTTGTGGCGTTTATGCATCGGGATTCAAAAAGGGTTTAATGTAGGGGCCTTCATAACTAGAATAGGGTTTTGGGGTCTATTATAGTATAATCATAATCAGGAACCACCAAAATAGTGTTGTAATAGGCTTTAAGGCCTGCTGCCTTTAGGATCCCCAGTAACCCAGGAATAGAAACGGCTTTCTTTGGTGGTGTCGCGTAGTTCTATAACCCGTAGCATCAAAATCGCCGAAAAGCCTCATGTAATAGGGTCTTTGGGCCCAGAAGCCTGTAACTATGAGTCCTTTGAGGGTAAGGGTAAGGAACCTAAGAGCCCTAAACCCTAACCCTAAGCCCTAAACCCTTTAGAGTTTGGCCCCAAAGGGCAGTGGTCCACTCACGAACCCAACAGGGGTCCCATCTACCGAAATGGGGGATAGGGTTTAGGGTTTAGGGGTTTAAGGGTTAAGGGTTTAGGGGTTTAAGGGTTAACGGTTTAGGGGTTTAGGGGTTTAAGGGTTTAGGGGTTTAGGGTTTAGGGGTTTTGGGGGTTTTGGGGGTTTAGGGGTTTAGGGGTTTAGAGGTTTAAGGTTTAGGGGTTTAGGGGTTTAGGGGTATAGGGGTTTAGGGTTTAGGGTTCAACATGTCCACAGAGTCCGAGCGCCTTCTTGGATGTAGGTTCAGGCCCTCATAATCTGCTTCTTTATCTGTCATGAATCGAAACGAGTGTTGAGTTATATTAATGATATTGAATATTGTATGTAATTGAAGGTTTTCAGGAATTGTGCATGTAGGGCGTGGGTTGTGAGCTCTCACCGCCTAGGCCGCATGGGGCTGAACCATAGGGAATAGGGAACCCCTCTCTAACCCAATGTATTTTTGAGAACCCCAAACCCCATGTCCAGAACTCTGAATCCTTTCAAGCACCTCTCTGGAAGGGAGGGGAAACCCGGGTAGGACCCCTCCTCTACCGCCTGCTCATATCCAGAGCTAGGAAGAGAATGTTTTGCAATTAAGCGCGTATTGTAAAACAATGGCATAGTTTTAACGCAGGGGCTTTAAGACTCCTTCTTTTCGAACTCTCCTTTAAACACAACCCTCTAATTTCGAAGGAACACTAGACTGGGTTGTGGCTTTGGGGCCCTCCGAAAGTATTTCTGAATAGGTACCCCTATAGGAACATAAGGGAAATTTTCAAGCATCCCAAAGTGCCACCTCGTTAATCACAAAGCCCTAAACCCTAAACCCTGAACCCAAAAAACCCAAATCCTATGCCGTAAACCCTAAACCCAAAAACCCCAAATCCTATACCCTAAACCCTAAACCCAAGAACCCCAAATCCTGTACCCTAAACCCAAACACCCCAAGTCCTATACCCTGAGACCCTTTTACCTAGGACCCCGCGGATCTCCCGAGCCGATTCCGGGCCGCGAGCATCGTGACGTCGCCGGTGAACTCGTTGTTGATGCCGCTGCAGTCTTCCTTGGAGATTAAGTTAGGGTTTAGGGTTTAGGGTTTCACCCTAAATCCTAAACCCCAAACCTTAAGGGTTTCGGGTTTAAGATTTAGGGTGTTTAGGGCTGCAGTCTTCCTTGGGGGTTAAGTTAGGATTTGGGGCTTAGGATTTAGGGTGTTTAGGGTTTGCTGCAGTCTTTCTTGGGGGTTAGGTTAGGGTCTAGGGCTTAGGATTTAGGGTGTTTAGGGTTTGCTGCAGTCTTCCTTGGGGATTAAATTAGGGTTTAGGGTTAGGGTTTAGGGTTTGCTGCAATCTTCCTTGGAGGTTAAATTACCCTGAGGGTCCACGTACCTAATAATCATATACTGTCCCAAGTATTAACCTAGATACAAGCAACTACTATCCGCGACCAAAGTACCTTATTATTGTGCCCTTTTGGACCCTTCAGGGGTTAACTTAGGGTTTAGGGCTTAGGGTTTAGGGTTTGGGATCTTCCCTAGGAGTTTAGGATTCTGCTCTGAGGGGGTTTGTAGAGGGTTTTATCTGTCTCGAACAATTTCGAGGAGTTTCCATTGGGTAACCTTAGACCCTAAACCCTAAACCTTAAACCCTAGGCCCTAAACCCTAAACCTTATACCTTAGGCTCTAAACCCTAAACCGCTGAGGCCCTAAACCCTAAACCCTAACTAAGATCCTCTTTGGGACTCTGAAAGGGCCCCGGCCGTCCAAGTTGTTCCATGATCCACCTGCCGTTTTGGGGCTTAGGGTTTAGGGGTTGAGGGTTTAGGGATTTAGGGATTTAGGGGTTTAGGGGTTTAGGGGTTCAGGGGTTCAGGGGTTTAGGGATTTAGGGGTTTAGGGGTTTAGGGGTTTAGGGGTTTAGGCTTTAGGGGCAAGGCAGCTCGCGTTGGGTTGCTTGGCTTCATGAAGTCAGACTTACTGACAGGGCTTACTGCTTTGGGGCTCCGGGTTCGGGGCATAGGGTTTAGGGTTTAGGGTTTAGGGTTTAGGGTTTAAGATCTTTGGGATTTGGGGTTTAGGGCCTGGGTCTGCGGGGTTCAAGGCTTTAGGATCCTAGGCTTGATGCCTTTACCCATAGGCCCCATAGTAGTTCCTTTTGGGGGTTACGTAATAGGATCCTGAATAGAAACCACAAAAAGGAACTACTATGGGGCCTATGGGTAGGCCTAGAGTGTCTTAAGGTTTAACATGCACGGTTTTGGAATTAGGGTTTAGGGCTTAGGGTCTTCTTCGCTAGTTTTCTGGGCTTGGGGATGTCAGTGTTAGGATTCAAGACTGATGGCTGAGGGATTCTATCCCGGAGTTTCCCCAACCGCCTTGACCCTCGCCCGCCTCACCCTAAATTTAGGGTCTAGGGTTGTGTTCACGGTTCAGGGTTTAGGGGAGCTCCCCAAACCCTTCACACCCAAACCCCGAAACCCTAAACTTAAACCCTAAGCCCAAACAGGATGAACACTTGGACGTGCCGTCTGCTTCAACACCACGTACTCAGCAACTAAGACCCAACCCTAAACCCCCTGCAGCCCCATGTTAAAATGTATCCTGACGACCTCTTTTTGGGCTCCTTGATATCATCTCTGTACAGAACTCCTCTAAAAAGTCGGTGAGTCCTGGTAAGCCTTAAGTCACCTGAAATCCGAAGCCCCCCCGCAAAACCAGCACTCTCAGCCCCCTCGAGCCGATGAAACTGTACCCACAACGCCCGGAAACAAAACCCGAGACCCCCATATGAACCCGAAACCCTAAAACCCTGAACCCTAAACCCGTCGTCGACGGCGAAAACGCGTTTTGGGGATGCACCGGTGGAACTCCCGAAAGCATGGGAGTTTAGAGTTGGGGGTTTAGGGGTTTAGGGTTCAGAGTCAGCTTAAAGTTTGGGATATGGCTTAGGGCGTTGAGGCGTCCGATTGAGTACGACTCAGGTAGGGTTTCTTTATTGGAGACTTGGGAGTGTTGATTAGGTTTAGGCTGGTGCTGAGTATCTCTGATGCCTGAACTACGTAATCCAACCGCGGCGAGGGTTCAGGGGCTGACGGTGTAGAGCTCAGTGTTTACGTATAGGGCTTAGTATTTAAAGCTTCCGCAAACAACTAGCCTCGAGTATAGCCAAAACACCCTCCACCACACAACATATGATCCCTCCCTAAACCCTAAAACCTAAGCCCTAAAACCTAAACCCTAAACCCTAAGGTTTAGGGTTTAGGGTTTAGGGTCCGGCAACAAACACGAAGCAGACAATGCAAACCCTTAGCAGAACTGCCATAGAACCCTCATAGACAGCACCTCGTGAGTGGCTGATATGCGCCCTGCACCCTAAAAGAAGTACATCCTCATGAATGGCCTGGCCGTAGGGGTTCTCCTTGACTGCACTCTGCCAGCCCACGATGACCTGCGCGGTGTCGGTCCCCACAGCAGGATGATTTTGTGAAATGAAGGATATCCTGATACGGCTTTGAACTCAAAACCGCAGGTCCAGAAACCAGACTGGGTTGGCTCTTGTTGGCTAGTTCGGACCTGCGCCTACGATGAATGCTTGATGCTTTGTTTCTGTTTGAAACGCCATGTGCCATCGTGCGGTGTTGAACAATGCTATGTCAAGTCATGAGCACTCAGCACTTTGCCGTCTAGAAAGCTGGGACGAAATGTAATGCTGGCGGTTCATCAGGTCTCGTTGCGCAACATTATGTAACGTCATGCGTTGCAGCACCACACTACACTAGACCGCATTGCACTAGACTGCCCTACAGCGCGGCACAGTACATCGCACTATACTACTGACTTTACTACACAACATTAATTATGATATTAGACATACATTGCATGTCTTCACCCACTTTAATAAACTACTCCACAATTCATTCGGCCAAAATCGCCGGCTTTGCATACTTTGCTTGACATCCACTGCCGCGTGGTCTCACCCACCCACCAACAAACTCACACACACACACACACAAAACACAAACAAACACACAGACACAGACACAGACACAGACACAGACACAGACACAGACACAGACACAGACACAGACACACGCACAATTCTGAAGACCCCAACTCTACTTCCGTGGAATTTCCGATGCAATTGATGGCTTGTGGTCCAAAGCTGGCGACCTGAGGCTATTGGACGTTGGAACTACCTCCCCTTTATGAAGCCATTCTATCATCCCTGCCTCGTAACTATACGAGATCCCCAAGAGATCTCAATAGTATAATCTCCTCAGTTTGTAGCTCTTGTACGTAGTCCCGAGCTGATAACAATTGTATAGTAATAAATAATTTCGTATTATGTCATTAGAAATAATCCCTAAACCCCAAGCCCTAAACCCCCAAAAACCGCACCAGGCCCCAGGAAGTTTGCGCGCCGGCCGCTTTTTGATTTGTACCGGCCTCGATGTTCGTGCCGTATGGGCAGGGGTCACCAATGCCTTCGATGCTCGGTTAGGGGTTTAGGGTTTAAAGGCTTAGGGTTTAGGGCGTAGGGTTTAGGGCCTGGGGTTTAGGGCTTATGGTTGAGGGCTTAGGCTTTAGGGCTTAGGGTTTTCGAGCTTTTAGGGCTTTTTGGCCTAAGGTCTCGGGCTTCAGTAGCTGCCGGTGCTGAAAAACCTCTTTGGTGAGGGCGTCAAAAGGAGGTCCAGGTTGCATCATGGCCGGATCAGCATATGCACAGAAAATTTGAAGGCGAACAAAGGTCATGGTTGCAGAGATGTTATTTATTGCAAAATATGTCGCGATAATTATTGTGTTAATTGTAAAGAATTTGAAATACATAGGTAATCTGAAAACTTCAGCCCGGAGCGAGCTCTGCAAAAACGGACGTGCCAGGCTGGTGTGTATGCCACCTGGACACGAGATGCCAAGCTACCATAACCCTGTGCACCTCAAGCCCGAACGACTCATCCCAGGGTTTAGTGCTTACAGGCTTCAGGTTTAGGCTGTAGTGCGGGTTCTGGGTCGCCGACATGCGGAGAAGTCGCCAGTGAGGTTGCCGTACCTGCACACCACCTGATCAAGGCTTACATGGAAACCCCGGCAAAGCCAAGCAAGCTCCGTGGCCAGTATCTAACCCTAACACCCCAGGTACCTACTATATAGGGTACTAGAGCCCCTAAGGCCCTATATAGTAGGTACCTGGGAGGCTAGGGGAACAGTTGCTTCACGTCTTCGAGCATGCTCCGTTATGACCGAGCGTAATGGTGTGAATGGATTACGCCTTAATGTAGGACTTGCAGAAAGTGCGTGTGATAGGGGCCCGCAGAAGTAGGAGTGCGGCTGCGGCTAGATACTACCATCAACTTGCATTGGGCATGTTGTGCATCTGACCAACGACGCAGTCCATGCACGTGGTACAAGTCACGGAGTCCTGCCACGCCTGTCAGTTCCCCCCGCCCCTTAGTTCGGGCGATAAACCACTATCTAAAGCTTGCTTCCCTAAACCCTAAACCCTAAACCCTAAACCCTAAACCCTCAACCACTTATACATAACCGTCCTGATAGCTACAAAAAAGAACTCTCAAGTGTATAGGGGAGTTTCCGAAGATAGGAGACCCCAAACAAATACCTAAACAGTAGGACTCTTACTATAAGGACCCCAAAATAAGGTACCCCAAATTTTGGGAAACTCCCATATACTTTCCACCACAGAGGGCTTCTTCTGTCAAGGGCTTGTTGACCCCAAGACCCTCAGGGCCCAATTTGCACGCGGAACCCCAAACCCCAAACCCTAAAAGACCTCGATGCCAAAGGCCCCAAAACCCCTAAACCCTAAGCCCTAAATCCTAAATTAAACCCTAAACCCTAATCCCCTAATCTGTAAGCCGTGAAGAAAAGGGGCCGAACGAAGCCTGAACAGAAAAGTCCCAGCCCGAAAAAGCCAACCTTTCAATGAAGGCATGTGCCCAGCTGATTAAAGATGCAATATAGGGGCCTTGATGATTAGAATAGGGCTTTTTGCTAGAATATACGATAACTGTTACAATAAGGAGCCCACAAAAATAATATTATTAGGCACCTATATTACAAACCTAAACCCTAGACCCCTACACCCCTAAACCCTAGCCTTTAAATCCTGCACGTCAATGAGCCCCAAACCTGAAACGCCCGAAATACGAAGCGGGTAACTCGGATTCAGCTAGCACCCTGATGAACTAAGTCTCCAACGCAAGAAAACCGACCAAAGGATTGAACACAAAGGTATCTGCCTAAACCCTCAACCCACAAAGCCTTAGACAGAAATCGTAAACCAGAAACCCGATCAGACCAAAACTTACGCCCTAACTTAAACCCTAAGCCCTAAGAGCACAAAGATAACACTCAAGAAGGACAACCCTGAACCCTAAACCCCAAAACTAGAAACCCTAGGACTGAAAAACAACCCGAATAGCCTAACGTCCCAAAGCAAAACCTTCAGCCCCAAGAACATAACCACAACGAGCGACCACCCTGAACCCCCTAAGCTCCGCACTATATCAACAAAAGACACCGCTTAACAAGGAAAACGCAAAACCAGTCAACCCCAAGAAAGAGAAACCCTAAACTCTAAATCCCGAAACCCCAAAACCCCTAAACCCTAAACCCCTAAACCCTAAACCCTCCGAAACCCAGCTAAATTATAGCGGAGCCTGGAAGTCGCCCCGGAAGACCGGGTTGATGTACGCACACTCCAGGCTGTAGCTCTCGTTGTGGTCCCGGTTGGTCTGGGGGGTTTAGGGTTTAGGGTTCAGGGTTCAGGGTTCAGGGTTTGGGGTTTGGGGTTAAGGGACAATTTTTGTGGTCCCGGTTGGTCTCAGGATTTCTGCACTCACTCGCGGACTTGCCTAACCAGGATTTAGGGTTTTGGGCCTTGGGTTTTCCCTTAGGCTTGAGGGATTTTAGACAATACTTGCAGGCAAGAGTGACCAGTTTGGCCTTAGAGGCACGTTTCGGGCAAGCGATGTGCGACAATTCAGTAAAATCATGAAGCTGCTCACTACCCCCCACCCTACGACCCCCCCCTAAATAGTACCTTATTAGAGCCTTAATAAGGTATTATTCCGGGTCGAGCAAAATAGTGAAATAAGGCCGAAATAAGCTATTTTGGTTTTATTTCGTGTCACCCGGATTAAAGCCAAATTAGTGTCCAATTAAGCACTATTATTAGAACGGCCATCAAGAACAAAGGGGCCCCAAATAAGCCCCGGTTAAGGCCCAATTAAGGCCCAATTAAGGCGCAATTAGGGCCCAATTAAGGCCCAATTAAGGCCCAATTAAGAGCCAAATCACAAATAAAGCCCAAATAGAGCCCAAGTAGTGTCCAAATAAAGCCCAAACAGCGCTAGCACTAAGCTTCCAGTGGCGGGTGACACGGATTGCGCGATGCGTTGGCGTGACAACAACTGCAAAATAGACCCGAAATAAGCATATTTAGGTCTTATTTTGGGGTCCGCAAAATAAGGATACTGTGAAGGGGGGGGAGTAAGGGGGGGGTTAGTTAGCGCTTTCATGATAAAAGCATGCCTTCATGTTCCTTATGGAAATCCCTAACCCCCCTAAACCCTAAACCCTAAACCCTAAACCCTAAACCCTAAACCCTAAACCCTAAGCCCTGAACCCTGAACCCTAAACACCTAAAC